GACTGAACCACTCTATTTCTTTTCTTATTTTTTACCTTCTTTTTAGACAGGGTCTTGCTATGCAGGTCAGGCTGGCCTTGAGCTCACTTTGTAGCCTAGGCTGGTCTCGAACTCGCAACGATCCTCCTGCCTCGGCCTCCTGAGAGCTGGGATTACGGGCGTGTGCCACCACGCCCCGCCTAACCGCTCTGTTTCATTCTTGTCAATAAGCTGAGCCAACCAGGAGGCCACCTACTTACAACAGAGAAACTTGCCTTGTGTGTGACTCTGAAAAGCTGCCACTGTTCCCCACAGCGCTGCCCCTTAGAGAAGTGGGTTAGGAGGGCGGGGGGGGGGTGTTCTGCCCCCACTGGCACCTACAGTAAGAGAATGTGTCCCCTCAGGTCAAACCTAGCTACGTGTACATGCAGCCATCTCTTCTTCAGGGCGGCAGATCTGGGACTTTGCACACTTCCATCAAATCAGGAATCTGGAAAGTTTGCAGCTGGGTTTTTTTGCAAAAATATAATTTATACACACATATAGACTCTCAGAGTTCTACCTACCAATCTCACACTGCAGTGCGCAGTGTCTCCCTAAGGGGAGCATCATTGGTCGGATATGTGACTTCCAGTGCCCAACCCCCTTTCTGATTTCTGGAGCTAACGTGTGAGCTCTCTCTCTATACCTCTACCCTGGCCGCCGGGGTGCAGGCAAGAGACCCATCCTTGGGCCTGTTAAGGACGCCTGATAAGTCCTTCACTCCAGCAGGTGCTGAGAAACCAAAGGGATTTTTAGAGAGTTCACTTGCTTGATGTAACCTAAGGCCTTGAAGTCTCTGAGTTCTGCCCATTTCCCAAGCTGGCCCACCAGCAGCAGCCTCAGCGTCCTTTCTTTTTGTGCGATGGCTGGGGTCCAGCTTTCCTGCCATCCCTGGACATGTTTCGAACTGCTTACAAATCTGTGGTCAAGCCAGGCGTGGTAGCACATGCCTGTAATCCCAGCACTCAGGAGGCTGAGGCAGGAGGATCATTGTGAGTTTGAGACCAGCCTGGGCTACAAAGTGAGCTCAAGTCCAGCCTGAACTGCATAGTGAGACTCTGTCTCAAAAAGACCAAAACAAACAAACAAACAAACAAAACACACACACACACACACAAAATAAAAAACAACCTGTAGTCAAGAAATTTGTAGCTGTATGGGTCACAGTCTGAACTTGAACAAATGAGACAAGTCTGTTGCATGCCGTTCTCCCATCCAGGCATCCCGGTTGTATAACAAAGGACAAGGTGATGTTTCTTATCATCATCTTGCATCTTACAACATCTGTGCTTATTGCGGGTTTCAGGCGTTTCCCATATGCATTTATATTTATGATACATGACGTAAGAGGTGGATCAATGTCACCCTAGCAACGGGGATCTCCTACTGCTTCCTCTAGGAGTTTTTCTAGATTGAAGAGTTTTTTTTTGTTTTGTTTTGTTTTGTTTTGTTTTTCTCCGGTACCGGGAACCGAACTCACGACCTTGCGCTTGCCAGGCAGACGCTTTTGCCACTGAGCTAAATCCCCAGCCCCTAGATTGAAGAGTTTTGAGGGATTGCAATGCAAGCTGTCGTCACTTGAGCTCACCTACCTGAGTCAAGACCTTGCAAGCAGAGCAAATCCCAAGAGAAAATTCACAAGGAAACTTGTGAACTGCGTGCCAGAGGTCTGACCGGGCCTTATGAACCCCTGACTTCAAAAGCTGATTTACCTAAAACTCTTCGCTATTCTTCATGGTTGATGATCTAGTGTGCAAATGTGAAGCAACAAAATAAGTATCAGCTAATGAAATCGTAGTCTGCTCTTTACTACGCTGGGAGGGGAAGTCCATGAAGGTTTAATCCGTAAAAATGATCTGGCTGCTTAAAAAAGTTTTGACAACCATTTCTGAGTTGCCTGAACTTTCCTAGGGCTGCATTACTTTAAAAAAAAAAAAGTGTTATCAGACCTGCATGGCCAAAAGGACACAAAGATACAGCTTTCTTTTATCCATTTACTTCCATGGATCGCAGGCCATTTTCCAATGGCTGAAGTGGAACAATTCATCTGGAATAAAAACTGCAGCTTGGCATGGTGATGCAC